GTTGCTCCCGCGCCTCGCTCAGCCAGCGAGCGGGAGCCGGTCTATACGTGGGATCCGAACCCTCGGACGGGAGCGCCGCCGCGCTTCCCAAGCGGCGCACTATCCAGTGCGCCACCGGGCCGGCCCCATGATTCTTAGCCCTTTGGTTAAAGTCCCACCTCAGCTAATACACATGGTGGGAGCTGAGACCAAAAGTTCCTGGTCTGCTGCACCCCTGTCCCCTGGATACACACATACCACCCTCGGAGGGGCTGTCTGCCACAGCAGGTGGGCACAGCACATCTCTGGTGAATGTCTGATACAAACTGGAGAAAACGGGAGGGAACAGGAAAGACCACCCACGTCCATGACACCCACCTGTCCCTTGATCAAAGTTCTTGTTGTTGATTATGATGCACTTGCCCACCTTCTCAAAATTCATGTCATACTGATACGTAGCCACTCGGTCTCGGGTGGTCTTGGCTGATTGTGTTGAGCCATTTTTCTTCTTACTGGGGAAATAAAAAGCCAGTCAGGGGTGCAGAAGAAATGTGGACAGTAATGGCCTCTTGGTTTTACCATTAGCATGTGCAAGGAAGCTGCAATCTCCGTGAAGAGAGACCTGGGGTGGACAGATGGCTCTGTTTAATTGTCATGTTTAAAAGGAATGGGGTCCCCTGGTAAATCTCTTTAGATGCCAGAGAAATGCAAATTAAAATCGCAACTACCAAGACACACTCACCAGGATGGCTACGATGAAAAGAAAAGAGTGTTCAGCACCTGGAATTACCATACATTGCTGATGGGAACCACATTGTACATCCATTGTGGGAAACTGGAAGAATCTACTAAAACTGAACTTACACATATCCTGTGACCGAGCAATTTCCCTGGGTAACACAAACATGGTCCCCAAAAGACAGACACCCACGTGTTCACTGCAGTCCTATCTATAATAGTCCCAAACAGGAAAGAAGCCACACATCCATTTATCATAGAAATCTGGAGATGGTTTTCCCTACAGTTGGAGGGTTATGGACCAGAAGGGACATGAGGACTTTCTTCAGTGTCAGTCATATTTTGTTTCTTGGTATGGGTGCTGGTTACATACATGTGTCAGTTATTCATGAAAATTCATAAGTATGTGCACTTTTCTACGTGGGTGCTATAATTTAATAACATTTACATGAAAAGGGAAGAAAGGAACAGAGCAATTTAAAAAAGAAAATAGGCCCCTTCTAATCTCCAGACAACTGGAGGCTCGGTGTGCCCAAAGTCTGGCACCTGGGCAGTATGGTGGGAGCCTGAGGCATTGCTGAGAGGGCAGAGGGACAATGTCAGATGAGAGTGGGCAGAAGCCTTGCTCGTCACCCACCGCAATGTGGGCTCCAGGAGGGAAGAGACTGTTACCTGCTCTGAAAATCACTGTGTCCCCGATGCTTAGACCAATGCTTGGCACGTAACATGCTTGATAAATATTTGTTGCATGCATGAATAGAATCTCATCCTCTCGTGTTACGGATGTGGAAACTGAGGTCTCCAGGGAGGCAAGAGTTGTGCCAGATCACCCAGCCAGTGGTGGGCAAAGTGGGACCATCACTCAGGCCTCAAACTTGCACGCCAGGACTCCAGACCCCTGTGCCCTTGAGAGTTTGTTAGCACAATCCCCCCACCCTCTTCTGACAGCTCTCAGCCAAAGCTGGAAGAAACAAAGTGAAAGTGAAAACTCAGCTTGCTACCTGACAAATGCAGGCCGGGAGTTTCCTCCACTCTTACCTGTTGGAGGTTCTCAGAATCTCTGAAGGACATGAACTTCTCCTTGCCCCCTCCTACCTTGTCCAGATTACAGATTACCTCTTATGTCTAACCTTCAGATTCCTTGCTGCTATCTTCCACTTGGACATGACTTTCTCCTTCACTTTTATAAGGTCAAATTTCTTCCATGATGCCCTTTCATTTTTAAAAGAGAAATATTCCGAATCTGCTCTCCTGCCTTCCCTGGGCACCTGCCTCCCTACCTCCGTGTTCTGTCTGGTTTATGGGGTGATGTTGGTTTTTCTTTCCACTTCTTCCCCTGGAGAGGCAGCACACAAGAGCGCTGGACTTGGGGTGGGACAGAGCTCTGTGTCCCTCCACCTGTGTGACCTGACCAGTGAGTTACTGCCCTTCTCAGAGCGTCCGCTTCCTCTCCTGTGCAACGTAGTCAATTGCACACATTAGGTGTGGTTTTTTTAGGGTGTGTGTGGTTGTCACATTCGGTGACAGCTGCGGTGGCAGCAGGCACTCCCCACGGAGTCTTCACCCTGTCAGAGGATAGAGTGTGAGCAAGGTGAGTTTCTGCACTGTTCAAGGACATACCACATGGGCAGGACAAGGATTTATTTCCTTACTGCTGCCCTGTCAATGACCCTGTTTGACAGCATCCTTCGTGCATGTCAAAATACGTGTGCACGGTCTCTCACAGATACACAAAATCTTTGGTCTTCCATAGATGCCTCGGAGGTAGGTAGAGGGAGTATAATCATGCCCATTTTACAGGTAATAATGATAACAATTAACATTTGTCAGTGCTGACTATGGGCCTGGATCTTGTTAAAATTCTCCCCTGCAATTTCTCATTGAATCTTGACAGCACCCCAAAGAGGGAGGCAGATGCCACCATAACCCCCTTTAAGGGTGGTTAAGTAACCAGCTAGGGGGTGTGAGTGGACACAGCAGGTCCAAGTCCAGGCAGTCAGACCTCAGAAACTCCTCTTCCTCACTAGGCCATGGGGACCCCCAGATGGAGACAGCAGGTGTTGGGTTTCTGGGCGAAGCCAAACTGTGACAGGTCACTAGCCTCCAGAGAGGTCATCCCAAATTCCTGGTACCAGGATTGACAGGGCATTGGCTAGGCGACCCTCTGGGGGAGTCTACTTAGTGATCCAAGTGTCTCTCCACAGGACCCTCCCTGAAAGTGCCAGCCTCCCAGGCTGGGTCGGCAGTTGACTCAAGAAAACTCTAATCTCTTAGAGCTTCAATTTTCTCATTGATAAAAATAGGCCTAGTTATCACTGTTAGGATCAAATGGGATAGGATGCGTGACTTTCGAAATCTACAAAATTCCAAACAAATAAAAGAGCTATTGCTTATTAGTACCTGTCACCTATAAGCAAGGAGCTTTATAAATCACTGTCCATTCTCACAGCCACGATGCACTTGTGCAGATAAGAAAGTTCATGTTCAGAGCTGGGATGTGATTCCTAGTGATCTGGCCCCATGGTGTCTGCTTTCTCTACTATATTGTTTGTTTAAAGAACAAACGCTGTCTTTGATATTAAAATTCAGGACAGGAACTTTCCTGTCTTCCAGTTGCTTTTGGGGAAGTCAGAGTATAATCTGTAATCTGTGACCTTTCTTAAACCAGATCCCCTGACCCAGTTAACCCCTTACAAAGGTAGCTTCAGGATGGGCTTCATCCAGCGTTCTCTTCAATCCTTCAGAAAATACCAGAATGGGGTAAAAGGAGAGAAAACTGAATTGTGAAGTAGGATTTTTTCAGCACATCAGGTGTATTTCAGAGCAAGAGTCCTGGATCCTTTAGCCTATTTAAGAACATTGCAAGACCCTAAGAGTAGCATCAGGACTGGTAGGCTGGAGGTCACAGTTTATGCACTAAAACCCTGTATAAGAGATAAAACTCTACTTCTGTTTTCTGCAATATGGATCACTGTGACACTATCCAAGTAATAAACAAGCTGTGACTTTTTAAAACTGTCATTAGCTCATCATCAGTGATGAGCAAAACAAAACCAGCAAGCGCCTTTTGTAAGAAAAACAGGCCTGGATATAAGTTACATGAAAAATGAAAGGACTGTGTTTCTGTAAGAACAGATTTTGGAAAATTAAAGGGTTAAAATAAAAAGAATACAATGTGGGAATAAAGATATACACACTTGAAAGAGAACACTGCACATGGTTGTGAAAAGTACCTTAAAATTGAATGTGAAATATGATACTTATCCCTGGTAAATATTTCAAAAGGGTAGTACCTAGTCTGCCCCTAAGTTGAACTCTTATTTTTCAAAATGAACTCAATATCTGCTTCCTCTTTCTGAATTTGAATCGGTCAATATTAATTTTTCCTTCTAACCAAAATAGCTTACCTAGCCTGCCCCTAAATTGAACTCTTGTTTTTCAAAATGAACTTAATATCTGCTTCTTCTTTCTGGATATGAGTCAGTCAATATTAAATTTCCCTTCAAACCCAAATAACTTTTTTGTTAAAGCAAGTCTTCCCAGTTCAGAGATGTGTATTAGAGAGTGATTATCAGTTCAATTCTATTGAATTCATCTTCCTAAGAAGAGCTGACCTTGGGAAAACTCCATGCATTGCTTGACCTTGGGGAAGCAAATCTCTGATGATCAGCTTAAAGCATGTAACTAAGAGAGATGAATAAAAGGAAATGATTGTTGAGAAGGCATCAGAGAGAAAGCACCAGAAAAAAAGGGGTGGGGGGATTAAAGTTCACTGCATATAGATATATTCTGCCACAATGAGAGTCCAAGAGATTATTCTGCCACCTAATAGCTGTGAGGTTTGGGGGCACCTTTTCTCTCCCGGGGCTACCTTCTACCCTGTTCTCCCTTCGAGACTATGGCAAGAGCCACTATATTGGTAGAAAGTGATTTCTTGTCTTGATTCTTGGACCCTGTGGCCATTGCTGATGGGTCCTGGGGCAACTGATCCTCTTCCCTGAGAATTTGAGAACAGAAATTGATAAAAAGGGTAGGTGTCGGGCCGGCCCGGTGGCGCACTGCTACAGTGCGCTGCTTGAGAGTGCGGTGGCGCTCCCGCCGAGGGTTCGGATCCCACATACAGACCGGTTCCCGCTCACTGGCTGAGCGAGGTGCAGGAGCAACACCGAGGGTTGCGATCCCGTTGCCGGTCCTGGTCCGGTACGGGCGCGACATTGAGGGTTGCGATCCGTTGCCGGACATGAAAAAAGACAAAAAGGAAAAAAAAAAGGGTAGGTGTCTCTCAAAGTGGCTAAAATGAGAGTTGTTGGTGGCGTGTTTCACCATGTGGCCAGAGGAACCAAGACAAACAGGCTGGCAAAAAAGGGGCAGAACAAAGCCAATGGATAAAAGAAATGTGGGAACCGAGGAGGAGAACGGATAATGTTTGAGTCCCAGATTCCTGCAGCCTGGGTGTTCCTTTGAAAATATCAACCAGATCCCAACTCTGCTACTTACAACCTTGCCAAGGCTCCCCCTGGAATTCCATTCCGGGGATCTCCCCTGCCGGCCTGACCCCATTCCTGGTGCAGCGCTGTCCTACATGGGCTCAGACCTGCTGGGACTGCTCGTGGAGGCTCACAGGGAACAGCGACACCCAGGAGACTCAGGACGGGCTCACATCCTTCTGCATGGCTGTGCCTGGGTTTCAAGTCTCTCTACATACGTGATCCTAGTTCACTGAGCATCTCATAGCTTGCTCGGTCCAGGACCCCAGAAAACCCAAGCTTTCGCCTCCTGACCAGGCATCTAGTCTTGCCCTTGTGGTCCCTTCCCCAAAGGGAGCTTTTAAATAAATAAAAACAATAAACCCAGTGCCGTTTGTTCCGTGCTCAGAACCATCGGTGGTCTCTCACATGCCCAGAAGGAACTCCGGGGTCCTGACCGCAGCCCACAGGACCCACACGAGTGACCACCCTGGGTTTCTGCCCCTGACTCATCCCACCCCAGGAAAGCTCGAACTCGTCTGGCTTGTGGCTGCCTCAGGGCCTCGGCTCTCACTCTTCCCTTTGGAAGCCCAGG